CCGCTTTCTTCGGTTCACGCTGTCACCCCTCTGCGCCCCGGTGCTCTCACCTCAGACCTGCTGTCACCGCCCCCGGGCCCGGCGTCGCCGCCGCCGTCGCTTCCTCTCTCACACTTGTTCCCGAGTCGCTCTTTTGCGGCTTGTCTCCTGGAGGATCCCTGGGTCCGGTCGCTGAGTGCCGGGTTCGGCTGCACAGTCTCCGTATGCAGTCCCCACGTCGCGTCCCACTCTCGCACGCAGGACCTCACTGCTGCTACCGCCGCCGCCGGGCGCCACACGGACCCTCTCGCGGCCGCCGCTGCTGCTGTCCGAGGTGCGGCTCCTGCCAGGGGTGGCCAATCGCACCCGACTGCGCCGAGCGCGCTCCGCCCCACCATCTCAGGCCGCCCGCCCCCTACCCCCCACAGACCACGCCCCCAGCTCGGCTCCGATAGGCTCTCTACTGACCTTCCCTGATCAAGGGGCACAGGTCTGGGGCCAGATATAGGTGCTTGACTGAAGGTGTCTGGGAAACGGAGCTGTCGATGGCGCCTGACGATTGGCGGATTCCACGGAGGGCGGGCTGGGGCGGGGCGGAGTTTCCTCAAACGCGGAAGACCATGCAACTTCAGTTACTCATGGGCCTTCCTCGGGTGCGGTTGGCCTAGTTTGCGGTGCTTTGGCGGTCAAAGTTCATGTCACTCCTTCCTACGCCTTAAGTTTTCCTAGGAGATTGCTAGAGGCCAACGTCCACTGGGACTTCCCGGGACCATCAAGTTAGAGCCTTTGGAGAGGTCCATATTCTCCTGCTAGCCCTTGCACAGCTTTCTAAGTAATTATACCATTAATTGATGTAGCATTTATTCGGCTAGGACTTGAAACTATTTCCTGGATTTAAACCCTTTTATTTCTCTGGCAGGGGAGTTGCCATTCCTTGCATTGCGTTCAAGAAAAGTCAGCTTAATGCTGCTGGAGAAAAAAAATTTTTTATGTACTAGATGTATAGTGTGGACAAGTGTTCAACCCTGATGGTGCACATTTCCATAGGTACAAGGACAAGGCTTTACAAATACTCACTTGGTGGGTTTATTCACTTTGTGAGTTTTGAACTTAACGCTATTATCATTACAACAGTAAGAACAGGAACTGTATCAGGGGAACCCTTGTTAGCTTTAGCAAGGTTTCAGCAAGCCTATCGAAGAACACATTTTTACTGACTGAACTGATGGGCAAAGTGTAAGGAGCTTTGACCCCAAATGCAACCTGTGATAACCAGAGACCGATCTTGACCCAGGTGTGCCTGCCAGGGGTGAAAGTGCATTATGTTACCCAGAGTCATTCCTTGTATTTTTGTGAAACTGGATATGTTGATTGAATCAATACTGGATACTGAAAACTGCTATCCTCACCCCTGAGCCCCAAAGTAAACTTAAGGACTTGGACAAATTAGTGTTTAATGAAGAAATTATTTCATTTTGAGAACGGTATTTTAATCCTAAGCCTTGTCAGATGTATACAGGCCTTAGCCCTCAGAAAACTCTATCAATTATTTTTGTTGGAGTTTAAAGAAAAAGAATTGATACGAAGTTTTCTGAGGGCTAAGGTCTATACACATATATATACATATGTATCAGTATACATGTTTTCCCTAGTGTTTGTAAATCACGCCTTATTCCAGTTATGATGCCCCTTTTTGAGTGTTAGAGTATGCAGAGGAGGCCTGGAGGCACAAAACATTCTGGAAACAGGGCTGGCAGGACATTTAAATCGAGTTCTGAAGTAGTAGATATTTCCTAAGTAGTGGCTGAGTACTATTTTGGGAGAGGAAACAGCAATTTGAAGGCAGGAGAACTTGGTTTCGACAGAACTTGATTGTGTCCATAGTCATATTTAATGACTATTTAAAGGTTGGGTAAGACCAAAGGCATAATAATTTTTTTTGCCAGGTTCCCTTTGTTAAAGATCATTTATTAAGAGTTCTTCCTACCAATTCCGCAGTAGGGAACATGGACAGAAGACAGTATGGGTAAGTTTTCACCACTGAAGTGTTGAGTTGTGTCTATTCATTACATAAAAAAAGATGCATGACCATCGACAGATGTTATTTGCAGTCGGGAAGATAAAGATAGGAATAAAACATAAGATAATAACCTCAGTGTCTATAAAAGAAACCAATTAGCAATGAAATCAACTTTTTTTTGATTCATTATACAGTGAAACCTGTGAAAGCTGGAATGACAGGACTGCCTTGTTTTTCTGGGCATAGGAAGTTTTCCACCTTTGATAGGGTACAGTCTTACCATTTTTTTGGCACTCATTTTAGTCGAAAATATTTGCATTTTCCTTCTCTGACAGGTTTCTGCTTTACATAGGTTCCAGCTTTTGAAGGTTTTACTGTTCTAAAGATCTCTAATTTCTAAAATATGCATGCAAAAGCTGGACAATGAATAAGGAAGACCAAAGAAGAATTGATGCATTTGAATTATGGAGTTGGCAAAGAATATTGAATATATTGTGGACTGTCAGAAGAACGAACAAATCTATCTTGTGAGAAGTACAGCCAGAATGCTCCTCAGAAGCAAGGATGGCGAGACTACATCTCACATACTTTGAAAATGTTATCAGGAGGGATCAGTCCCTGGAGAAGAACATCATACTTGGTAAAGTAGAGGGTCAGCAAAAAAGAGGAAGACCCTCAACAAGATAGCTTGGCACAGTGGCTGCAATAATAGGGTCAAGCATAACAATGATTATGAAGATGAAGCGGGACTGGGCAGCGTTCTGTTCTGTTGTCCATCGGGTCGTTATGAGTTAGAACTGACTCCAGGGCATCTAACAACAATTTCTAAAATGTTACTGATGCTTTTTTGGTCTGTGATTATTGCTACTGACAGGAACTCAAGTTACTTAAGATGGCTGATTACAAATATTTTAGATGTGATCCAACAGCACTAAGAAGAAAATGACTTCATTCTTTGGACAACAGACAGTCCTGAAATTCTAGATTAAATATAGATGGACCTACAGATAGCTCTAAGAATGACTCTTATTTACAAGGAACTTCAGAAGATCCCTGAGCCCCCAAAAGTACTGGACAAATATTGCAGCATTCTATTCTGGAAATTCTTGAGTTTGTTGGGAGGAAAAATCCCTTACAAACAGAGCCAACTGAAACAATGTAAAAAATGAAAAAATTGTTAAATGGGATGAGAATAAAGTTTTTAATTTTTAAGACATCATGGGGCCAATTCAGAGAAAAACCTGATCACAAAGGATCTGATAATCAAAATATTAGGTTCCTCCCTGGCTTTTAGGAGCCCTGGTGACGCAGTGGTTAAGCGCTGGGCTGCTAACCAAGAGGTAGGCAGTTTGAACACACCAGCTGCTCAGCGGGAGAAAAGATTTACAACCTTGGAAACACTATGGGGGCAGTTCTACTCTGTCCTGTTGGGTCACTATGAGTCGGAATCTACTCTAGGGCAAGGGGTTTTAGTAAGGGGCTTAACTTCAGTACTTGTAAGTTACTTTTTCTACTGAGAGGTTGGTGGAAAGATAAAGATTAGGGTTTTTCTATTACTTTGGAGAAACAAACATCTCTGGAACGTTTTCCTTATCCCTTTTCTTGCTACACATTAGAGCACACGACTTGGAAAAATGGACACGTAGATTTGAACGTTAACCAAAGCTTATAACACTGTGTCACCTTCTACTCAGAGGGAATCACACAAATTAATTTACCCAGTTAGCGTTCTTGGTTCCTGAGTTTCCACAGAGGACCTTCTTTACTTTAGCCAAATTAATTTCCTATAGGCAAATACACCACTTGCTTGAGAGTTGATTAGCAAGCTATTGGATTGGGCAATATAACCTTTCAAAACATTAGTATTCGAGGAAATATGAAGCCACTGTATTGTGGAGGGCCTGAGTTTGGGAGTTTAAGGAAGGCAGACTGGACGCTACCACTTTTTTGGCCTTGAAATGTTTATTTTTTTGGCAGTTTCTTTTTTTCAAAATTTTTTCCCATACAAAAATTTAAACACACACATTGCTATGTGACCCCAACTGCTCTCCCTGTATTTTGACAGCACACTCCTCCTTTGCACCCCTGATTCCCCATGTCCATTCAATCAGCTCGTAACCCTCTCTGCCTTCCCATCTCACCTCGGGACAGAAGCTGCCCGTTTAGTCTCTTCTATCTACTTGAGCTAAGAGGCACGCTCCCCACGAGTATCACTTTATGCCCCACAGTCCAGTCCAATTCCTGTCTGAAGAGTTGGCCTCGGAAATTGTTTTAGTTCTGGGCTAATAGAGAATGCAGGGGGCGTGCTTGGACGCTACCACTTTTTAAGGCAAGTGATGTATCTTTTCTCATCTGCAAAATGGGGAGAGCACTTTTTCAGATAAGCTTGTGCGCAGAGAAATGGCTCCCACGGGCTGAGAAAATACCGTTTTGCTGATCCCACGATGGAATATCAATATCCTTTATTTTAGTTCTTAAAGCTCCAATTAGGGGAGGATCCTGGGCTCATTTTTCTGGTCACTCCAACTCTGGATGTTTAGGTTTCCCGACCTATAAAGGGCACGGTTCATGTGATTCACCTGCTTAAATTAAAGAGACGACCTCCACCTGCCAACAACCTCTTAAATCCTCTGGCCCTGAGGCCGCTAACGACTCTCACTTTAGATCCGGCTCCAGGCGCCGCCTGGCGGCTATTTCTGGACGTCGCCTCTGCGCTTCGGGGTCCTGGCCGCAGCTAGGCCTGCCCATACATTTGCCTAACTCTAGAGATCCTGCCGCCGCTCTTTCGCACCATACCGTTGACGACTTTTAGGCGGCGATGAAGGGTCTGGCGTTTAGGCGAAGGAGGCGTCGCGGGGTTCACCCCTCTTCCTCAAGCATGGCGGAGTCAGGCGGTCCTCGGGCAGCTCGCGACCCGGAAGTCGCCTCCGGCGCGAGGCCCCCGTTGCCGAGCGCGGGCGATGGGGGCGGAGCTCGGCGGAGACGGAGAAGGGGGAGACTTGGCTCCCGTTCCTTGAGTTGGCGGCCCCCTCGGGCGCTGTTAGGTGGACGTCGAGTCCCCGGTGCGGGTGGCCGCGGTTTCCCGGTGGTACACTCTGCTACTGCTGGAGGCGACATGAGTGCCGCGGGGTTGTTGGCTCCGGCCCCGGCCCCGGCTGGAGCGCCGCCGGCGCCGGAGTACTACCCCGAGGAGGACGAAGAACTGGAGAGCGCCGAGGACGATGAGCGCAGCTGCCGGGGCCGCGAGTCGGACGAAGGTGGGTTCTCTTGCTCGCTGGGCAGCCCAGGGCCGAGGTGGTACCGCTGGGGAAGGAGGTGGGGCTGTATGGGAGAGGGGCGGGGTGACCTCCAGGGCCGTAGGGCCCGTCGTAGGGGCAGTTGGTAGGAGCGGGGCTCCGGGAAGTTACCTTCACCAGCACTGTGGAAGAGGGAAATTCGCGGGTACGTTGTACCCTCCAGGTGTGGGGAGAAGGGACGTAGGGAGGTGTTGTCAGAACTGGAGGTTCCTTTAAGATTCTCCCTCCTATCCCTACCGGTCCTAGTGAAGCCTCTGGTCTCCACTGAATTGGAACGGGAAAGTCATCCATTGAGTGCACTGAGTACGCCCCCTCCCATTTTAGTTCCTGAGAGGATTAGAGCAAAGCTGAGTTTGGCTTCCTGGTTTCTAAGTTGCCCTCCCACCTTCCCCCCGGGAAATGTCTAAATCAGTCCCGTTTTGGGCATTATAGTACAGTGTTGAGAGTACAGGTTGGTTGAAAGAACAGGACCTGGAATCAACCAGATCTAGATTTAAATGTGGCTATCACTTAACGCAACTTTGTGACCATTGACAACTTCTGTAAGCTTCCAAGCCTCAGTGTCTCCAGTTTTAATGGGGCTGGTAGTGCGTACTTCCTAGGGTCGTTATGAGGATTGAATGAGATATGTGCATGAAGTACTTGGTCCGTGTCTGGTACTCAGTAAATAGAATTTTTTTATACCACTTGGGGGAGAGGCACAGGGAGAAATAGGGATTTGCTTACTGGTGTCCAGGTGTTTTCAATTTTGTGCTCTTTACATTATGCATCACTGCCTCATAGAGCTTAGATTTTTAAAGTGAGCTTTGCAGTTTGGCAAGTGTGAGAAACACTGTTTTGGGAGGGATTGAGGAAGAGGTGGCCGGAGGAGAAGAAAAAGAGGAGATAAAGAGACCAATATATGGGTGAAGTATTCCGGGACAAAATAGAGCTGTGGAGTAAAAGCTAAAAGCTAGACCAGCTGACTGGGGTGCAGAGTATTCCTTATTCATCTCAGTCCCCCAAGTACCAAGTAGCTTAGCTGGCTGGCACGTGACAGGAGCTCAGTGAAGGTCTTCTGACTGAAGGAGGGCAGATGGGTCTGTGGAGAATTGGATCTGCAATAGCCTTTCCAAAGGCAATTGCATACGTAAAGTTGAAGAGACTAATTGGATTGATGAGTCTTCGGAGATGATACACTTTGAAAATCTCCAGAGGATTATTTCTTTTTTGAGGACACACTTCTCTGGATTTCACTGGTGACTGCTGGGTTAAATTTAACTGCCCTTAAGGAGATTTGGTTGAACTGCCTTTGAAGACGAGCCTTCACTTGAGAGTTTGAATGTGAATCACTTGCACCGCTTTTAGTGCCCACGAGGGGGAGCCATGAAACCAAAATTAATTTTTTTTTCCTCCAGTAAGGAACCAAATCTGTTGTGGTCTAGTTGAATCCGACTCATAGCGACCCTATAGGACAGAGTAGAACTGCCCTATAGGGTTTCCAAGGTGAATTCGCACTGCCGACCTTTTTGGTTAGCAGCCAAACGCCTAACTGCTGCCCCACTAGGGCTCCAGTAGGGCTGTTGAAATTGTGTAGACAGCCCACCCATTTATTATAAGAACAACGTTTAAAAATTTTTGCAACAGTTTGTTTGATCATCTTGCCTCCTTCCTATTCCCTATAGCTACAACTTTGAAAATATTTCAGTTATCAGAATCCAATTAGTTGTTTTGTGTTCTCCTTTTTATCCTGTGGAGTCCCTGGGTGGTGTAGAGGTGCCTTGGAAGAAAGGCCTGGTGATCTACTTCCTTAGGCTCACAGCCACTAAAAACCCTATGGAGTCCAGTTTTACTCTGAAGAACATGGGGTCGCTATAAGTTAGAACTGACTGGACAACAACTGTTTTTTTTTTTTTTAATTGTGTATATCTGATGTTAGATCTGTTAAGAATTCAAACTGAGCATGTACCAGAAGAGAATGCCCATGTTAGATTTTTTTTTTTAAGACTAGTGAGAAAGGTGGGCTTGACTGCCTACAGCTTTCCAGCCTTATACCCACAGTTCCTTTTCCTGAACTGCCAGGTTTGTTGCTTCTGCAAAAGTGGCAGCCTTGACCATGACTGCCTGTGTCTCATGCGCCCTTTTCTCTTGCTGCACTTTAAATAAAGGATGCTCTTAGAATGTATGTGGCTGTGTATATGTTGGAAATGGCATTTTCTTTTCTGTAGTAACTGCATTTAGTATTTTTCATTGATGGCTTCATGCAGACCTCCAGTGAGTAGAAATTCATTTTATAGAAGTTTATTAAGTGCTTACACTGTGTCAGGTAATGCTAAGTATATGACTTATGATTTTTAACTAACTCTTCCTCCCTAATTTTATTCAGACACTGAGGATGCTAGTGAAACTGACCTGGCAAAACACGATGAAGAAGACTATGTAGAAATGAAGGAACAGTGAGTAATTCAAGCTCTTTTGTGTTGTTTTTCTATTTCTTTTCTGGAATACAGAGTTGGCAAGAAAATCTTTAAGTGACCTGGTATGTATGATTTTTGGAGTCCCTGGGTGGTACAAACGGTTAATCTGCTTGGCTGTTAACTGAAAGGTTGGAGGTTTGAGTTCACCCAGAGGTGCCTTGGAAGAAAGGCCTGGCTATCTACTTCCAAAAAATCAGCTATTGAAAACCCTGTGGAGCACAGTTCTGCTCTGACACATATAGGATCACCATGAGTCAGAGCTGACTCCAAGGCACCTGGTTTGATTCTTGGTTTGGTGTATAGTTTTGACTACTGTGCTTCAGGGAACCATGTACATGTGTGCATTTTTCCCCTTTAAGTTTGTCACATTTTATCAGTTTGTACTTAAATGAAACTTTTATTGTTCTTTTCCTGCTTTAAGGATCTTTTGAGAGTAGGCTAGAAAGAACTTGGAGGGAAATGGTCACAGGGGAATGAGTCCATATAACAGGAGAGAGCTTTTGACCACATGCTCATTTTTTCGTATGTGAAGAGCAGTGCTCTGGGTGGGTAAACTGGTGTGGCACAGGCCCAGAGACAGACTACCCAACAAGCAAGGTATGCATGGGCTTACTTGTGCTTACTTAATAACCTGTAGTGTAGAATTTCACCCGTTTTTCTTGGTGTGGTGAAACCTGTGTGAAATTGTGCACTACAGATTAGTAAGTAAACACAATTAAGCCCGTGCATACTTTGCTTACTGTAAGCTGGTATGTGCTGTGCTTACTGGTTAATATACCCCTGTGGACAGCCACTGGGCTCTCGGATGGTTGTGAACCCACGGAGCACTGACTACATGCTAGGCAATGCGCCAGATGCTTGGAGAGCCTGGGGAAACTGGGATTGGAAAGCAGGGCTCTGGACTCCCATTCCAGTGCTCTATCCATGTTACCACACGTCCAGACACAAGCTGTCTCGTCTTCAGACAAAGCCGCAACAGAAGGTGCCCAGAGAGACTAAAAACCTATTTTGTTTTAAAGGACGTTTAAAAAGGTTAGCTTCCTTATGCTTGAAATTACTGACTTGTCATGAACGTAGAAGGAAGACAGCATCGAATGTATTCCCTAAGTATTTATTGACTGTATTTGGAGAATCTTGATTTGACTTTTTTTATTCTTTATCTTTAAACTAGATGATCCAAGGCACTCTTGGTGGCACAAATGTTTAAGTGCTCGACTACTAGCCAAAAGGTTGGTGGTTCAAAGCCACTCAGGTGCCTTGGATGACAGGCCTGGCAGTCTCCCTCTAAAAGTTAACAGCCTTGAAAACCTTGTGGAGCAGTTCTACTCTACACACATGGGGTCACCACGAGTCAGAACTGACTTGAAGACAATTAGCAACAAGTACTAGGAGTGGAGAATACAACATAGAGCAGAATGTTATAGTGGAAAAGACAACTTCCAGGTCAGCTAGATGACCCATATTCCTTTCCGCGTAGGTCCTATTTGCAAAAGTTTTGGGGCCATCTTCTGGTTTCTGTCACTCTTTTCAAGCTTTGAACCCCAAAACGGTAATTCAGCTCAAGTCTGACCAGTGCTGAATAGGAAAAGGTTCCTTTCATAGTTCATGGAGTTCTCTCACAGTTTCACTCCTGAAACTGTGCTTGGTTTTTATTTCTATTCTCCTCAATTTTTTTACCTTGATGCATTTTGAGACATGTTTTCAATAACTAATTTTCACATGTGGAGTCCCTGGGTGGTGCAGATGGTTAAGTGCTCGACTACTAACTGAAAGGTTGGCAGTTGGAACCCACTTGGAGGCACCTTAGAAGTATAAGGCTCGGTAATCTGCTTCCAAAAGGTCACAGCCTTGAAGACCTTATGGAACAGTTTTCCTCTGACACATGTGGGGTTGCCATGAGTTGAAATTGACTCGATGGCAACTGGTTTAGTTTTTTGGTTTTATTTTTTACATACCTGTACTTGATCTCAGTGACTCTGAATATTTAAAAAATTTTTATTTTCCAATCTGTCAGTAGTCCCTTTCAGAGACAGAATCAGAATTCAAAGGTATTGTGTGGTGCCCTCCAGTGTGATGGGAAATTTAATCCACTGGGCTGCAAATAGTGGCTTCTGGGCACAATATACACAGCCTTTCTCTCTGCTGAACTTGATGGGCTTAGGCATGCTTTAGAGAATAATCTTTTAGTTGAATGTGTCCCTCTATATCTGATGGTTAGAAAATAATTTTGATTAGAATGTAATGCCTTGTGTGAGCCTCACGAGTACATAAAAATTCGGACTTCCGGCAAAATGGCGCTCTAGGCAGTAGCACCACGCCGTCCCTTCACAGCAAAGATCCGAAAAACTAAGCCGGACAGAGAAAACAACAATCCTGAAACCCTAAAACATCAAATGAAGAGATAAAGAACTCAGCCAAGCACCAAATGGAGTGAGAAAACTGACAGAGAACAGAGAGCAAGAAGAGATTCATGCAGAGGTCCCCTGTCAGCTAACGCAGTGCGGATCTGCCATCTTGGACTCCTATCCGAGACTAGCCAACGGGGTACGAGAAAGCAGCTTCATGGAGCTTCCAGCGGGAGACAAAACAACCAGTAATTTGCGATATACGCTTTCCCACCCCCTACCCTTCTTCATCCCCACTCGGCCTCCTCTGCTTCCCGCAGCCATAATCTCTTGACCGGGAAGCACTGGCTGCTTGGATTCCACCCACCCAAATGGGCCGGCTCTCTGAGTGCCATTTGTTGGCTGCTGGTGTTGCTTTTTCTGCTTCTTTTGATTTCTTCCTTACCTCTCATGACCCCCCCCCTTTCGCTCAAATACCTGGCTCCGTGCGCCATCTTTGCTTCTTCCTGAGGAGCTGCGGAGCTCCGTTCAAGTGTAGAACTGCTTCTTGGCCTGGGTTGCCGCGCTGGTCGGATCCTGGGGCTTTTGTTCATTTGTTTTGAATTGTTTGTTTTCTTTTCCTTTTCTTGAGTTGGGAGCCTGTTCTGGCCAGGTGATGCTGCGTGGCTTGGAACCTACCCCCTCAGCTTGCACAGACGTGCATAGGGATCCCTGAGAGCATTTCTTTTCTCGTTGGGTTTGTTTTTTTCTTTTTCTTTTTTGAGGGGCCTTTCTTTCTTCTTTTTTCTTTTTTTTTTAATTTGTTTTGTTTTCTTTTCCCTTTTTTTCCCTTTTTGTCTTTCTTCATTGCTCAGTTTCTCATCTCTCTATATCTACCTTCTCTTTCTGTTCCCTGAATAGCTGGCGTCGTATACCTCTACGCTTTCTAGCCAGGCTGTACTGCAACACCTGAGAACAACTTCCCCGGACGTCATAGCCGCACCAGTGGGATCTCTGGGAACTTTGCTGTTGTTTTCCCTTTCCGATTTTTATTTATTCATTCTTTTTTTTTTTTCTTTCTCTTCCCCTTTTTGTTTCTCTATTTCATAGTCGAGAATCTCATCTCTCCACTCCAAAGGCAAGCTCCCCTAGCATTCTTTTTTGTTTGCTTGTATGTTTTTGGCTCCTGTTCCTCTCTCCTCTCTCCCATATCCATCTTAGCTCCACACATAACAATCTCACCGCTACATCCTGCCCACCTGCACTGTGTACTTAACATCCCACCACCAAGCAGCACCGGCACGGCCTACTGGAACCTGCCCTGCACTGATTACCAGCCCGCCCTGGTGGCTATAGTAAGTGCCACAAACAACCCGTCCCAGTAACTCCTCTTCAGCTAGACCTGCCCTTCCATACCGTATCTGAGTGACTGACCCTACCAATTGGAGAAGGAGGCAAAAAGTATTGTGCCCACAGACGAGCAAACAACAAAGAACACACAGCCTGCCTGCTCAGACATAGCCAAATTTAAAAAAAAGGGGACGAAACAAATAAATCTACAATCAATAAATGAGAAAAATAACTACTGAATGCCCTGAAAATAGCAGACAATATCAAACCATTTACAAAAACAGGACAGGATGGTTCCAGTAGGTGTCCAAAATAAAACACCAGATGACTTTCCAGTGGAAGAAAAGGCACTAGAACTACCTGATGGGGAATTCAAATCTCTAATACTCAGACTTCTGCGAAAACTGAAGTAAAAAGCAGACAAAAACGAGGAAAAAATAGACAAATTCATAGAAAATACAGACAAAAAATTGGAAGAGTTCAGGAAAATAATGCAGGAACAAAATGCCAAAATAAATTCACAACTACAAATTATACAAAAACAACAGTTAGAAATCCAAAAGATAAACAACAAGATTTCAGAAATGGATGGTGTCATAGAAGGGCTGAGAAGCAGATTTGAAACGGTGAAAGACAGGATCAGTGGAATTGAAGACAAAGACTTGAATACAACTCT